ATCCCATCCAGCCCGCTCTTGAAAACTATGTTTCCAGAAATTCTTCCTTTGCTCTGAACATGCAACCAACCCTCCCTGCATTTTGACAGCTCAAGTCATTCCAAGAAACGCATGCATCTCAAAGATAACAGTTTATCAAGTTATACATTCATTCTGGCTTATCACATATTGAAAACTTTTTATGCACTGATAGTATTTTATACATCTGTCTCGAGAACTGAACTAATTTTACTTAATGGCAATTAAAAAACATTAACAAAACAACTGTCTGATGCTCTATTATGAATCAATTTGTTCTGTTAGAGCAGCCCAGAGAGTGAATTATTGTTTTAGAAACAAGATGTTGGATAAGGAGGCACTTAGAGTGCAGGACTCTAACAGGAGCTCTCTGGGCTGGCACTGTCTAAAATTACTGGTCTTTGGAAAAAAAACCTGAAAACAAACAAGTATTCTGCAATTAGTAAAATACTGGTAACAATCCACTGGGTGGAACAAATAAGGGACATGTGATACTTAGTCTGTTGTTTTAGTTTTGTTCTTATGGAAAAGTATTAGACATAGAACTCCATTATTATCTCATAAATATGGATCTTGCTTTCATCACTGGAACAAGAAGATCTGTGAGGTTTCTTTCCCATATATTCTTTATGAAGTATGAGTCTCTTTTACAGGACACAAACTGATTCACTGCACGTATCTGCATGCAATGAGTGTAAATCTGCAAGAAATGAGTGCAAAGGGCCACATTAAGAATTTAACTAGCTTATTAGCTATCTCCTAACTCACTGCACAGTAAATTTCATCCACATGGAATAGATGTTGCATAACTTCTGTTATAAATTCACACCCTAGCTGATATTTTGGCTATTTTCTTATATAAATGAATGAAGAGAATCTTCTATTGGTGCAACTAAACTACATTTAAGTAGTTATTTGAATTAATCCAGAAATGTATTTAGAGTAAAATCAGAGAAAACACTGGCATATGTTTTCACCATGTACTTATTTTTTGCCTTTGTGTTTGAATATCCAGCTTTGCACCTTGAAGTCTTACTGAAAAAGGCTGAGAAATTTGACTGAGTTCAAATGAATTTCTAACTACCACCCTTGGTTCTTGAGAACCAATCCTTCTGTACTTATGTCAGATATCCAATAACGCTGTTCAGGTCTCAAATCACACCTTGTTCTTCTCCAAATTTCTTCCAATCTTTCAGGCTGGTACTCTACAAGTGGGGATGATCCCCAGGACACAGAAACAATGGAGGCAGTAACAGCTCCATGTACAACAGCAGCTCACACAAATCTGCTTTACCTTGTAAAGGACATAATCAGACACTGTATCTCACTAACTTTTTAAAAGTTAACTATATAAAGGGGAGCAAAACCCAGTTGCCTTGCTGTATTGCTCATTCTCTTGCCTCTGAACTGCTTTGCTCCAGAATTGAAGGAACACATGTAGCTCTCAGCACACTACTCAGTTAATGAAATTAATCAACTCTTTCAAAAATATCTAAGATAGGTGTATATACTATCAATTGCATCTCCTTAGTTGCTGGGACCTTAAGTAAATTTTCTGAAATAAATATTTGTAAAGCTTACCTCTTCATCTCAAAGAAAACATTACCCTAATTCTCTTAGAGTTAACTACTGCCCAAACAGATCATTGAAAAGAAACTTTATTGTAAACTACAATATACCAGTAGAGCATTAAACAACAGATTTCACATAATTTACATTTAGGCCATCCAAAAGTAACTTGCAACTATGCAAATATGGCATTAGTTTTTTAACTTGTCTACATCAGGCAGTGACTGGGCAGGGTTGCAGTATACATGACCAGACATGTACCTCTGGCTGTGCAATCCAAGCATACACACATCATGTGATGAAGAGGTCTATGTTTTGGTCATGTATGGGACTGTTACCCAGTTATCTGTAGAAAGCCTGTGGAATTTTCAGGAAAGAGTGGCAGGGAGTAGGCTGCCAGAACAATTAAAAACCAAAGTCTGTTTGTAGCTTAGATGTGGAAACTCCCCTGGGAAGAAACAACCAGAGTGTTGTTCTAGATTTAAATATGAGATTTTAAAACCAGGCTATTAGGCTTTTTATTGTTGACTTGATTTCAGTTATATTAGATTTTATTTTTTCAGTTTCTAATGATTTTTTTATACAATACTAAAAAATTAAAATGGCCATTTTCACCATTGAAAACTTGCATAGTGAAATAGAGAGCTTTTTGTTCAACTTCTGTTGAACAAAAGTTTTGTGTTGTTTTTCCCCTTCTAGTTTTGAAGATGCTCCTGCTGTGTCACATCAATTTTGATTTGACTCCAACTCTTTCATAATAATTGTCTCTATGGTTTACTTCATTTTAAGCACCTGAAATAACAAAAAGGTATTCTGAAGCTGAAGATGTGGTTGATTGGTGAAAAGTAACACTGCAGTTAGTCATGTGCATGGCAGCTAAAGCAAAATATGGTATATTCTTGTTTTTATCTTAATGGAGTTCAGACAAACCTAAATGAAAGTGTACTTAGATTTCACATTTATTAGCAAGGTCTCTGGGCCTGCAAGTATTCCAGAACTTCAATATCTATTAATAAACCAGTGGCAGAGTGGGACTGCTATCTGTTGACAAGACAGCCTTGATAATACAACAGCAAAGCTATGATTATAAAAGCAGTTGAGTTTCCAGTGTAGATCTCTTAACACTCCATTTTGAAACATTTGAAGTTTGCCAAGCATAAATATGACCATTTTGAGATCTTACAGCCACTTAAAATCCTTGAAAACCTCTGTGTCTAAAGTGAGAGCACAGAAAATCTTCAGTAAGGATGTGCTTTTTGTTATGACTACAAAGTTGACTGTGCTGAAACTGCATCATGAGTAAGAGGTCAACACCCACAGCTCAGAAAAGCAAGGTCTAAGTATGATCTCCAATGAATCTGTTTTCTTGTAAAGTAGGTCTTATTTCTTCCTCTGTGCAATGTCATTTAGACTGTGTTCAACACTAGAGTATTCCCTTTGCCTATAATAACTTCTGGGAGGACAGGTACACTCAAAATGCTGTGTCACCTGTGACCAGATTTTTTCATGGAGACAACACTATCAGAGTTCTCTTGCTTACATCACATGAGTTTGGGATCTCTATGAAGATACTGTGTTGAGAATAATGCATTAAACAAATTTCTACTTCAGCACTGTCTCTAGATATGTCTTTGTACTGACAGTCCTGTTTCTGCCAGCGCCAGGCACATGTGTGGGACACAGTCAAGCTCTGAGCACTAAACCTCAGAATGCTAAACTCTAGTTACACCAACTACACACTGTGCAGCTCCACATTTCCAATACGTCAAACATCAATGCAATCCTTGATAACACCTCCCCAAGGATGTTGTGAGGATTAAAGATTTGTATAGCGCTTGATTAATTCAAAGGGTTATGTCTAACACAGCAGATGTGGTACTCACTTCTGTGAGCCATCACTGGGTGCCTTTTTACAACCTGCTTAACATTTCTTCACTGGGTGAGAAGCACTATTTCTCCCAAAACATGTGATTTGATCCCCAGCTATTAGTAAGTGTTGCAAAACCAACAAAAAATACCTTCATTTCAGAACAGTTAAATGCATAAAGGGAGGCAGAACAACTAGATTTACAGAAACAAAAATCTTTATGGTTGCCAAATTCACAGAAAGAGAGAAAGGCAATCTTTTGAAATATACTGTCTTCTGAAAATTTCCAGTGTCCAGTGCCTGCTATGGTGAAAGCCAAAGTTCCCACAACACTACCTGAAAACAGCAGAAGGTGCTCTGGTGCTCCATGGTAAATTTTAAGGTCCCTGAACCAGAAGATGTAAGCCCAGTAGGATAATTATGAACAAACCAGTATCTAGCAAACTACTGTAAAAACCTGAGATGCAGGTTGTCATACCTATAAAAGCTACTACACAAAACTCCATCTCCACACAAACTTTTTAAAGGAAAACAGGGTTATTATTACTTTAAGAGAAAGATGTTAATCTACAAATAAAAGCACGGGGACCATTTCAGCAGTGTTGGATGCCTGTTAGGTCCAGACTCTACAAGCTGGCCTCATCAAATTTGTTATGGATCTACATGAAGAAACTTCATGCCTGTAGAGAATTTAGCAGGTGACAAAGCAAAAAACAGCAGAAATATTTTTGTGTAATTCTGGAAGTCAAACATCACTGTAGTAAAAAGAGACTACTGAGCCCGTTATTAAAGCACACAAGCTCCCCTAGATCACACCTAGATACTTTCACAGGAACTGGAGACAGATGAAAGGTACACCTGAAATAATTTCACATAAGAAAAACTTCCAATTTTGTTATACAGTAACTGAATGTCACTTCCTGTGTAACAGGCACAGGTCACAAATGAAACGTTAAATATCTATGAGCACAACATCACTAGCCTATGTTAAGAAAAAACCCCTGTTTATCCTTACAGCTCACAGAGCAGTAAATTTAGCAAATCATGAAGAGTGGTACGATCCTTATATATACAATGGCTCAGTTTGGTGGCAGAAGGTGAAAGCAGGGGCATAGAGAAATAGAGATCTAAAACAAATATTATAATTAACAGTTCCCTTTTGACAACTATGCTTGCCACCCATACTAAAGTGGGTGGCAAAATGGGCGGCGAAACTTTTAAAGTCCTGAATAAATCTATCCCTTTTAAATAAAACTCCACAGTAAGGCATCCAGCAGCAGGGCCGGCAGAAGTAAGCTGGCACCTCCGGTCCCAGCCTTTGTTCGCTGGTGCCAGCCGCTGCAGCATCCACGGGAGCACGGAACCCCCGGTCAGGTACACCGGGGGGGGTCGCGGCATCCCGGAGAACCCGCGAAGCCTCCGCGGACCCCTCCGCAGCGAAGGGCCGGCGCCGGGAGGAGAGCCCCGGCGGCGCTCGGGGTCTGCGTGGCGGGGGCCAGGCTGGCCGCGCCCGGGGAGCGAGGGGGACGGCGGGACCCCCACTCACCTCTTCCACCTCGATCTCTTTGTAGTCGATTTCTTCGAAGTTGAGGACCGGGGGGGTTTCAATCATTTCAGCGGAGGCGGCAGCGGACATGCCTCCTCTTTCACCGCAGGGAGGAGAGGGGGCTGGGGCTACGCGAGGGTCCGGCACCGGGCAGCCGAGGGCCGGAGCCGGGGCTACGCGGGGCTCGGCGGCGGTTCCAGGCGCAGGTCGGGGCGGGCCTGGCCGAGGCGCCGCCGGGGCCGCATCCGCGGGGGCCTCGGGCCTCACTGGCAGCCCCAGCGGCGGCAGCGGGAGAGGGGGCCGCGGCGGGGGTGGGGGAGCCGCTCAGAGCCGCGCCGCGGCCGCCGCCGCTGACATCAGAGCCGCTTCCTGCTGCCCCAGCCGAAGAGGGAGGGACGGAGTCAAAGAGTAAGGAAGGGAGGGAGGGAGCGCCAGGCGGGGGCGGGCGGGGAAGCGCCGGCAGCAGCGGCCTCTCGGGCGGCAGCGGTGGGACCACGGCCTGGCGCCGGCACCGTCCGCCCCGCCGCCCGCTGCCCGCTGCCGACAGGGGGAGCAGCCGCGGTCCCTGCCCGGCCCCGCTTCCTGTTCCTGCCGCCAGCCGGGAGCCGCCGGCGGGGCTTGGAGCGGCGGGAAGGGCTCTGCCGCGCCTCCCTGCTGGGGCTGGAGGGCAAAGTCCGGCGGGGCTCCCCCGGTTCCCGGGGGCTGCCGGGCACGGCCCCATCCCGGGGCTGCGTGTTACCGCCATGAGAATGCGGAGCGCAGGCCTTTCCCCTACACATGTATATATATATGCACATGCCTTTTCCCTGCATGTGTGTTGATATTTCTCCAGGGCAGGAAGTTTTACGGGGTCTTGGGACGAGGGCAGGCCTTGTGCTCTTCAGTGGTGCTTTCTCAGGGGAAACTTGTGTGTAGGAAGGCGGCTGTGGAGTGGAGGGTAATGGAGTGGTTGATGTAAACATGTAGTAATAAAGGCATAGGAAATGAAAGTCAATACCTTAACTGCTCCCTCTCCAAGGGAGTCTTGACCCACTCTTTGCCAGGGCTGTCTCCTGCTCCTGCTTCTGCTTTTGGCTGGAGCATCCATCCCGTTAATGTTTCAGTGGTAAATGTCTCAGAGTGACGCTTCAGGGCAGTCCATGGTGTGAAATCAGTGCTGAGATGAGTGAATAGAGCTGCTGTGTTCCCCTGAAACAGCTGTGCTTCATTTTGATATGTTTAGCCTTTGGGCTATATATAAAAAGTTATGTTATTGTACAATACTATTAATAGTATGTAATTTTAGTAGATCTAGTAAGCTTTCCTAGATCTTCCTCTGCTAGCATGCTAGTGAATGTCTGTACCTCACAAGGAAGTCTCATAAATGTAGAGAGATCTGGTTTACAAAGCTGCTCTGAGAAAGCCACTTAAACAGTTAACTAGGAAAAAAAAAAATCAAGGATGAATATGGGAAGTGACCAAATCATATAGTGGCTCAGCTGTTGTTAAAAAAGCCAAAGTGAAGGTACCTCTATCAGAGCTGCTGCACTTTGTGACGGGTTGCCATTAAGGGTTGTTTGCTCCCCTCTTGTATTTTCCTGTCAGCTTTTGTAATTTGTCCAGGATTTTCACTTGTACACCAATCCAGAAATCCCAGGCAAGCAGTCACAGTACGTGTTGACTCTGTTGCATGCAAGATGAAACTCGTATGCAGGGCTGGTTGGGTGGGTGCAATGAGATTGCCCAAGCAATCTGTGTGTGCGTGGGGAGCAGACTCATATGCTGAATGTGCTGAGTTTCTACTGTTGCTTTTTGATTTTCTGATATGGTTTGGTGTAGAAAGATCTAAAGAATCTTCTCTTAGTCCAAGTACCACAAAATCTGGCTAGTATTGGCTTCATCCAGCAGTGGGGTTATTCAGAGCCCCTATTTTCTCAGGTTGTTTATAGGTTTGGATGTTCATACTAACCCTGGCACCCCCTTATACCCAGTGAAGCATTTGATTTTCATTTTCTCAAAAGCCACTATTAGTGCTCATCTTGGTCATGCTGTGACACAGTCATAAAGAGCCATGTTTATACCTGGACCGCACAACTTCTTACAGGAAAGTGTATCGCTTTGTGTAAGCAGCTGCTGCTGTCTCAGCTGCTAGAATGTGAAATATATTGATTATTGTAGGATGAAGAATGTGGATTTCTGAGGTATTGAGAAAACTGCAAGTCCAATGAAAACCAGACTCCTTTCAGTCTGGTTAATACTGGCTTCATACTGCTGGATGAATTGCTTCAGTTCTCTAAACACTTGTAGATCAAGACAAGGAACCCCTGAAGTCAACTGAAGCCCCGGAAAAAGTGTGAATGAAAAGAAAGGGAGATGTGAAAAATCCATCACTGGATACTTGAAATCCATCATCTTGATACTTAGTTGCAATCAAGAGCATGATCTCAGGCCAAAAGCTTAATATTTTATTTATTTTTTGGGCGCACATGCATCAGGAAAGGTGAACTACATCAGTACTTATTAGAAAGATGGCCAAATGGGTGGTTGTGCTTTAGGGGGTGTCAGTTGGTGATCTCTGGTAAATGTAACTGAATATTTGGCTTTTTGTTATGTTTCACAGACCTCTCTTGAGGGTATGTATCAAGCAAATGGCAGTTGCAGTCTTCTATTTTTCAGTGGAGAGATTTTTCTGTTATCTTTGTTATATTTTGTTGATGGGTATTAAGACAGCAGAAGAGAGCATTCCAATTATAGTTGATTGTAAGGTTCATTTCCTTTCAGAAATTGATGTGGAAATATGAATCTCAAAAATAATGAGCTCTTTCTTTGTGAAGGCAGAGTCATCATCATTATCAAAATGTCACTGCTGTGAAGATCAGGAGGGGTTTTAAGGATGTGGTAATTTTGATATTACTTTTTTTTTTTTCTTCTTTCCTGACTGATACAGTCTTAATTAGTTATGATTAGCTATTTTGTGGACTGGGTATTGCTTGTACAGCCCCAAAATATTTATTCAACAGATACAGGAGAAAAAGGAAAATAAAAGCTGCACCTGCTGTTGTTATCTTGGAGAAAAACTACTTTTGTGTTTAGAAGAAAAACCTAAAACCTGGGAAGTCCACATTCTGGGTCTCAGTAGCCTCTCTCTAACATTGGAAAGTGGTTGCATTGCCTAGAAGGTTGCTTAAAGATTGTTGGAAATGTCTGGGTACCATGGCCAGATTGTGCACAAATACTCCAGCCTGAGACAGCTGCTGTGGAGCTTTTTGTCACACCTGTCCTAGAGTGTAGGGCTGTGTTTTTTCAGAAGAGACAGCACTAAGTCTGACACAAGATATAAACAAAATCCACCTGGACAGCTTAACAGGCCTGAGGTTTAGCATTAGTGTCTGCAGATCCTAATGAGAATTTATCCAATGTAAGATGGAATTGTACAACTTAGAATTTGGACACATTTTCATGAATACAGACAAAGGCACAGATACATTATCCTGGCTACCCTTTGTCCATCTCCCTTAAAATTGCTCTAACAATTTTTAAAAAGGGGTGAACAAGCATTATTTTCCACTAAATTTAGAAAAAAGCGAAGTGATTTCTTCTTCCAAAAGACTTCAACTTGTGTTGTTTTTTCAGTGTGTGAATTTTTTAAATAAATGGGTTAAAATGTTTCACTTAAGGTGATTGATGATTGAAACTAGAAAACAGTGGTGGAACATATTGGGTGGTATCTGCAAATGGAATGCCTACAAGAAAAAAGATTCCCTTCTAGATTAAGCACAGGAATATGTTTCTGCCAAGTCTGACTCTATTTTATCCCTGTTAAATATTGTCCTGTAAATATGAAGTGATGTTATTTCAGTTTGTGGGAACCCTCTGTGATGAAAGAGCAGGTTCCTGGTGACAGTAGTATGGAGAACACTATGAAACACATGTGCCTCACAAATTCATGTCCCAGCTGGGAGGCACTCCAGAGGAGCCTGCTGCTTGTTCCAGTGCAGGTACAGTGGAAATATCTCATGAGGACAAATCATTGTGATGATATTGAGAGATTCCTGTTTCTCTGCATGGCCGAGTTGTTGCCTAATCCACTCTTCTCATGCAACTTCTTTGGCATGTACATTAATACTTCCCAAGAGCAGCTTGCAATATTGTGTGTGTGTGTCAGATTCCACTTTGAATTTCAGTGATTTCTTCAATTGTGTCCTGCATTAATGGTTTACAAAGTCTTGGGAAACAGCACAAGGGTGTCTTCTGCCAAATACACTGAGATAGCACCCCCAGCATGCTTCAGGTATTTTTATTGCTTTTTTTGCGTTCTGGGAAGACTTCTCCATAGTATGTAAAATCTTCTAAATAGCTATTAATTCCTTCAGTGGTGGTGTTCCCTATTATTTGTGATGAAATGCATATATTAAAAAAAAACCTAAAAAATCCTTGCAAAATAAATGCATGAGCTGCTTTGCTAAACAGCAAACTCGGTTGTATGCAAGGAATTATATTCACTTTAGTAAAAGGAAAAGTTTTATTGTATGAGTATTACAGAAACTCAAATGATCACATTTGTTTCTGAACCTTATTTTGCCTCCTAGTCTGGGGCATGTTAGATCTCCCAGAGTTTTCCAGCAGTCTAAACCACCAAGAGAGCCTGGAAAATCAAGTAATGCAGCCACTGTGCATTAAGGGCAAATTAAAGGTGAGAGACTATCTAGATTCAGTCCTGCAACCAAACAAATACATTTTCTCTGGTGCAGCTATCAGCAGCTGGGCTTGGCTAAGTGGCCAGGGGCAGAAAGATAGTAAATTTAGCACAGAAAAGAAGGAGACAGATGGCTGTAGACTGGCTGATCTTGAACTGAGAGGTCTGAAAGATATGGTACATGAAATTGCTGATAGAAGATGTGTTAGACAGAGGCATAAATGTAGGTAGCTATAAAGTAGCAAAGGTATTTTAGAAAGATGCAAAAGCAGATCCAGACATCTAAGTATCTTTTGCTGTGCTCTCAGTAGGCTTTGAAATAAAATGTAATGGAGAGAGTAATAAAGAGCATGGAGGTAAATGGAATGAAATGTCACATCTTTTTAATCAAAGGTCAATTATCTCGGATTAACAAAAGATCATTTTTGATATATTCAGTGATATTTTTAGGCAAGGAGAATGGGTAGAACTATTCTATCTTAAATGTATTTCATATATTGTCTTGCGGGAAATCGTTAATTAATCTGGACATGATAAGAATCATTAGAAGAACTGAAAGTGGGTAAAGAAAGTAGGGGAGTTGTTAGGAGACA